TGGGTCATCCTCAACTGCTTTCCCAGGCCACAAGCTGGATGGGAAGCGGGGCTGCTGGGATTAGAACCAGCGCCCATATGGGATCCCAGTGCGTGCAAGGCTAGGACTTCAACCACCATACTATGGTGCCAGACCCAGGACTAACTTCTAAACTGGGGTTTCTCTGACCTACGTGGCAACTCACAACATAAAATGTCAACCAAATTCACAAAACTGAAGCTTGCCCAGCAATGACTATAAATCACTCAGCACTGCAAGCAGCTTTTCAAAACAAACATTTTTTCAACCCATAAATCAATAATATTGTATTGCTTTCATTGTGTTGATCCTAAATTAATTGCCTTTTTGCAAATTATTTCTATAAAAGTCAGCAAGTCTATAAAATCCTTGGCAAATCTGATATAAACTGTGTGGCACAGAGTGACAGAAAATTCCTGATTTCTCTGCTTCACTCCAAAAGCTCATAGCAGCTGGGGTCAAAGTGGGGAGGTGGGTACTCAATCCAGAATTTCCATGTGGGTGGCATAACTGAGTGAGCTGAGTCATTCGTGCTGCTTTCCTAGATCCACAGTGGCAGGAAGTTGGAATTGGGAGATGGAACCAGGAATCTGACGCAGATTGTGGATCTCTGAAGTATTAGGCTAAACACCCACTCCATGAAAACTTAAGTATTTCTTTTTTTGCTTTGTTTTATTTTTACTGAGAATTTTTTTTTTGTTTCGTTGCAGGAACAAACATAAATGCCTAAGTGCTTCACATTAAGCAAAAATAACCCTCAAAGATAATCTGTCTTTGCAGATTATCCACAATTACTGATCTTAATCAGAATTTTCTTAAATATTTTTAAGACTGTGAGACATTTGTTCAAAAAAGGAATGGTGAATTTGTGTTAGTAAATGAAAAACCAAAATGGCTAGTAAATAATCAAGAAGGAAGCATTTTACGGGATTTTTGCTTCCCATTAATTGTACTGGCCCTAGCATATTCTACCTAAAAGTGCATTTTTGGCAACCTTTGGACACCTTGCCATGAACTAAAACGCTATTCCAGTCAGCCCTAGTCTTTTCAATGTTCTTTTAATTATTCATTTATTATTTTATAATATAATTCTGTAGTCTCTAGTATTCCCTTCCTCCCACTAATTTCCATATATTATTATAATAATATAGTTTTTCATAAACAGTCCTAAGTCCATCATTCTGTTATTTAAGTGTTTCCTTAAATTGTAGGTATGGACAATGATGGAGCCCAGCACCCTATTGTCAAGATATAATTAACAGTTCAGTGGGAGTCTTTGGTTTGGAAGTAGAGATGCATTTTTCATTTTGTCTCCATATCTGGATATGATAATCTCCGTTACACAGTTACTATGCATCCACTTAAGTGAAAAGCCATAAAATAAAATCAACGACAGGAAGAAAAATAAAAAATTTACAGCATGAAACTAAATAATATGTGACCAATGTTTCACTGTAGAAATGAAAAGATCAAAATCAAAAACCTTAAAGAAAACGATGCTACTGTATGACCTATGTATTACTGAAGAAAATAATAAGGGAACAGGTTATGATGAAATAAACAAATATCAAAACCATGGGATGCAGCAAAACCAACATTGAAAGGGACATTTAAACACCAGGTGTTTACAAAAAATAGAAATATCTCAAATGATCTAATAATGGCATCTCAAGGACTTACTTAAAAGTGAACAGGAAGCAGGAAATGATAAAAAAAATCGCAGCAAAAATCAATGGATTTGAAACTTAAAAATTACAAATCATAATGAGAAAGAGCCATTTTTTAAAGAAGATGAGCAAAACAAACTTCTAGCCAGATTAGCAAAGAAAAGCAAAAAAGAAAAACCAAGTAAAATTAGAGATGAAAAAAAAAAAACATCAAAGAAACTCAAGGCTCAAGGTGATCTCTCCTTGCTGGTGGATCTTTTTATCATTATGTGGAGTCCTTCATCTCTTTTAAGCTTTTTCATGTCGAAGTCTATATTATCTAAGAATGGGTTCACCAGCTCATTTTTCCTTTCCACTATCCTGGAATCTATTTTTCCATCTTCTAACTTTCAGTTTCCACATATCTTTGTTAGTGACATATGTTTCCTGTAGCTACAGATAGATGGGTTTTGTTTTTTGATCCAGTCTGCTAATCTGTGCTGCTTGACTGAGTTTAAGCCATTTACACTCAGGGTTAATATAAATAGGTAGTAATCTGGTCCTGTTATTGCAGCAACTGGTTGTTCATTGTTTGATTTAGTATTCTTTTGTTATTAGGAGGTTTTCCACGTTTGCCTTTGGGTTTGGAGGGTGCTGTTCCTTTTCTTTGTCAAGAGAACATCTTTAAGTATCATTTGTAGGGCAGGTCTGGAAGAGGTGAATTCTTTGAGCTTTTCTTTACTGTGCAAGAATTTTCTTTCATTTTCAAAGACAAAAGCTTTGCTGGGCAAGTTATTCTTGGCTGACAAATTTTTCCTTTTAAATTCTAGAATGTATCATTCCATTCTCTTCTGACCTGTAGAGCTGCCTGTGAAAGGTCAGCTGTGGGTCTGATTGGGGGTTCTTCTGTATGTCAATTGTTTTTTTTTTTTTTCACATGGGTATTTAAGGATTTTTTCCTTATGTTCAACTGCAGAGAGTTTGATCATCATGTAAGTTCTCTCCCAGCTCAGAGCCTGTTCTGCTCATTGTTGTTCCTTCAACTCCACAGCCCTTACCCCAGTACATAAAATGATGCCCAATGTGGCACTGGTGGGGATCTGGGCCTGCTGGTCATTAGATCTGGGTTCTACCCAGATATGAGTAGAAGCTGTAGGGATACCAAGTCAGTGCTTTTTTTCCCTGTGGGACCAGTGCAATGTGTCTAACCAGAAATGAACTCGCTCCTAGCTCCCTCCAGCCCCATAGCCTTTTCCTCAGTACATAAAATTGCACCTGATATGGAACTAATGGGGGACATGTCTGTGAAATCCACCCTGTTCCTGCACCCATCTGCTTGGGCTCTGTCACTCTACTTCTGCTCATGGTCGAATCAAGCAAATCAGCAGGATGGGCAGTTCTCCTGAGCTCCCAGTGAACTCCCCTTCCCACCTGGCCACTGGTGGAATTCACCAACCACCACAGGGGTATCTGTTCACTGCAACACAGCTCTGCTCTCTAATGCTTCTCCATGTCCACAGGTCTCCAGGTGCCCCTCTGCTGTCATCTTGCCCTCTCCTATTTCTTGGGATTGTGGTCTCTCTTGCCTCACCCTGACTAATGATTCTCCATCTGTTTGAACATGTTCTTATCCTATTCTGCCATCTTGTTTCTCCCTTGTCTTTTCAAGGTTCTTTCATAACCCAAGACTTAACACTTAAAAGCTTTGTTGCTTTTCAATCAATAATGGTTCTTATTTTTAAATCATTTTCCATGATATTTTTGTAAGTATAGGGATTCCCTTTTTCTTTTCCATCTCTTTATCCCTACTATACCCTACACACTCTCCATATTATTACATTAGTATAATCCTCCAGCAAGAGTTAAAAATTCAACATTATGCTATCCACATGTACTATGGCATTGTAGGGATAAAGGCAGAAAACCTAGCATGAAGGCTGTACCAACTTTTATGGAAATTGTATGGAGAACACTTAACCAACTCAAAATCTGCATACCATATGATCCAGCAATAGCACTCCTAGGAATATATCCAAAACACCTGTTTCATGACAAACCAACATGTACCCCTATGTTCATAGCAGCACAATCAGTAATTGCAAAAACATGGAAGCAACTGAAAAGCCCATCAGAAGATTGGATAAGAAAGCTTTGGTTCATGTACTCCATGGAATACTACTCAGCTATTTAAAAAAACAAAATGCAGTTCTTTGTGGCTAAATGGGCCCAACTGGAAACTATAATGCTAAGGGAAATTAGCGAATACCACATGTTTGCCTTAATTTAACCTGTAATTTTTGTTTGTTTGTTTTTGAACCTGTCATTGATACTGTCTCAATCCATGTGTTTTGAAGAATTGAACTTGCACTATTTTTAACATATTGTTTACTCTATACTGTGTCAATTAATTCCATAACATTGTGTATTGTTGCTGATGTTTTGTTGGGGCTTTTAACTGACCAGGACTTTACTCTGTTAGCTCTACCTTCAGACCAGAGAAGGTCTCCCCAAGAAGCCGCTGAACTTATCTCGACAATAAGATGCTGGACTCTATGCTAGGTATATGTTTGCAATGAAGGAATCTCAACTGAACTTGAATTGTGGTTATGCAGTAAGGGGGAGGAATCCGCTATGGGGGGAGGGTTGTGAGAGGGGTAGGGGGAATCCCAGTGCCTATAAAACTGTATCACATAACACAGTGTTAATAACAATAAAAAATAAATAAAAATTTCATAGGATAAAAAAGCCCCTAGCATGTATTATTGAGGTTTATTTTTAACTTTCATTAGTAGTCCTCCCTTTATTTGAAAGTAGAAATGCACACTGCAACAGATCTTCACTTCCAGGTATACAGCTCGTGTATAGGAAATATATATATGTAAAATTTACCCATTTATCTGAATATATATATATATATAATTTACCCCTATATCTGATATACCTGTTTTATATGTTGCATGAAAGCCGCCTTATATCAACGAGAACTCATGATATTTGTTCTTATGAGATTGGCTTATGTCACTGAGCATAGTGATCTCCAGTTGGGACCATTTTGTTAAAAATATTATAATTTCATTTTTTAATGACTGAGTAGTATTCCATAGAATAAATGTATCACAGTTTCTTTATAATCAAAGATGCCTATGCTGACATAGTTTTAAAAAGTGGGTTCTCATGAACACATATTTTTGAAGCCCAAAACTACAGTAAGACTACACTAGACTTCTAAGTGTTTTCAGAGATGCTGTGAGACTTCATGGCAAACACCAAGACTGACTGAGGCTGGATTAGGGGTTTGAACACTCATTCACACATTGATATTGACACATTTTATACCTCTCTTTTCTTCTCTTCCCTCTGTAAGAATTCCTTCTTCTTCCACAGCTTCTCCTTTTCTTTTGCCTTTTCTCTTCTTCTCTCAGAAATTTCCACTTCTAATCTTGCTACCTCTTCCTGGTGGACTCTCCACTGAAGAACCTGAATTAAAGAAAAATACATTGTCTCAGAAATCATACACACTCTATTTCACAAGAGATAAGGTCCCATATTAGCAGATATCAATTTGTGTCCAAATGTGCTTTTAAAAGCTGTGTGCACATGCAAATGCTAGATGTATGGCTGTTGAAATATATATAAAAAAGGAAAGAGTGATTTTAAAGTCTCTTTCAGAAACTTTCATTGACATTCATACAGTAAAATTCTAAAGAGTGTGATTTGATTCCATAGGAGCTGTAAGTCCCCAGTCCCCAGAAATTGTGTAACTTTCTGCATTTTTTGTGTTTCTGTTGAAAATGTCAAACCAGTTAATGTTCAGGGCCCAGGGCCTGGTGCAGTAGCCTATGGCTAAAGTCCTTTCCTTGCATATTCAGGGATCCCATATGGGTGTTTGTTCCTGTCCCTGTGGCCCCTCTTCCCATCCAGCTCCCAGCTTGTGGTCTGGGAAAGCAGTCGGGGATGGCCCAAGGCTTTGGGACCCTGCACCCACAAGGGAGACCGAGAAGAGGCTCCCGGCTCCTGGCTTTGCATTAGCGCAGCTCTGGCCATTGTGGCCACTTGGGCAGTAAATTAACAGGTGTAAGATCTTACTCTCTCCTCCTCTATGTATATCTAACTTTCCAATAAAAATAAAATAAATATAAAATATGTCCAGCTGGTATGTGCAAAATCTGGCATTGGGAGAGGTTCTGATGGAGGAGCCTGGGCAACTCCTCTGGCAGGACACAGACCCGGCAGGTAAATGCAAGAAATATGATAGGGAACAGACCAGAACAGACCTTGGAAAGTTACCCACTGGCATACATTTGGCATGGGTTGGGGGCAGACTAGACTGAATCTGTTCACATCATCCAATGGCAAATCCAGGAACCAGAACAGTGTGGGTAGAGCCGGGTTCAGTCACAACAAAAACCAGTGCACAATACAGAATGCCAAGGTGAGGCTGCCTGTACCAGATGTGACTCCAGTGCCCAACAAGCACACGTAAGAACCAAGAAGGGAGGGGCAGAGCCAGCAGGGGCAATATTGGGTGTTCCCTTGCTGGACAGCTATTCCCATTGGAGAGCATGAACTGGGATGGGGGAAGATCAGACTAAGCAGGGCTACAACACCTGTGGGCCTCATGTGGACTAGATCAGGGAAAAGCCAGGCTGGGCTGATTATTCCTATGGCTGCAATCTACAATTAGAGTGGGTGAGGGTTGTTTGGGCTTAGTCACAGCATCAGCTGGCAGAAACTGGCACCGGGGTCTAATTCTGTTAAGTCAAACCACAGAACTACCTGGAGTGTGCACAATCCGGGAGTGGGAGAGGCCTGGGAAGGAAACCCTCCCTCTTGGGTTACCACTTCCACGGGAGGGCACAGAAACTAGGACAGGGGCTGGGATGGCTAGACAGACACCCAACAGCATCTGTGTGGGCTGCATAGTGGAGCTGGTTAGATGGAACAAAGCTTTAATACCCATTGACATGTATGAGAGCCGAATGGGGTGTGGGACAGACTGGACTACTGCTACACATACTGGCAAACCAGGGTAGGGCGCGTGCCTAGAGGGGTTATTGTGGGTCACTCCAACTAGGCTGCAGCTTCCACTTGGTTTATGCAAGGGCCGAGTATGTGCTGGGCAGAACCAGACTGGACTGCAACATCCATCGGTTCCAGTGGAAGGCAGGGCTGAAAAGAGAACCAACCCAGCAATTGCAACCACCAATTGCAACCACCAGCTGATCAGGGCCATGGACTGAGTGGGGCCCTAACCTGCTAGTACATACAAGAATATGGCCTGAGAACACCTCAGACAAAGTTTCTTTGGAGATCTCCCCAATCAAAATGCTGGACTCAGAACCTTAACCAAGAAAAGAGAGAAGACAGAACAGGTCAATCAACCATCTCAGCTATATGTTGGCAGCAAAATATGGGGCAAATGGAAACTCTGTGATGGACTATGCCAATCGGTGGATTCTTAAAGACCTCATAGTGCTTGTAGTGGCAACATTGGCAATGATTCATAACTGGTGAACTATCAAAACCACTTGAACAAGAACCTCGGAGCATACCCTACATGCAGGACCTGGGGAGGGTGGGAAATTGGGTGGGCTTTCTCCCTTAAGTCCCTCTTCTAAACATGAAGGAAACAATATGGAAATAATCGTCTTACCCACTTTCCTATAGCCCTTGAACATTTTTACCCTAATTAACTATGTAAAGATTGTCAAAAATATAATAAAAAAATTTTTTTTAAAGTCCAGCAATAGAAGGTAGCTTAAATTAATTATGGTACCTTTAAGTAATGATTTGCATTGAGAAAAGGTGTTAAGTCTTTATACCCGCTGACACAGAAAGTGTTCACAATCTATTACTGAATTCATAACATGAGAAATTACATTTTTTATCTAAGTAATGTAAAATGTCATCAATGTGACAATAGAAAGCAATCTACCAGTATGATTTTAATAACTATTTCCTGAAATTTAAAATGTTTATTTGGAATTATTTTTGTAATTATGAAACCAATGAAACTAATGGAATAAAAGCATTTATGATGTGGTCCACTAAACACCTGGCTGAGGAAACAGCAACAAGAGAAATACAGAGATGTGCAACCTATATTTTAGAAAATGAATGTCTCCTTTCTCACTTATTTCCATTTATTAATAGAAATATATAAATGAAGATTGAATAAAATGTCCTTACATATGATTAGTCATTTTAATTAGCTAATGTTTTTGCATTTACATTATTCAAACGTTTGCATTGTTTATCAAAGAACTTCCTATTCCTTGTTTTCAAATTCATTTCAGTTGCCCAGCCTTCTGCTTCTCCCAGGCACCTATTTTCCTTCTTCTAAGCAATCTCATGTCTCCACAGATCACCTCTCCTGGTGTCCTGCTTCCACTCCCTTCCTTACTGTTATTAATCTTCTATCTGTAACTTGCTCCAGTGAAATCCAAACGTCAAGTGTGGCGAGCAACAGTCCCTGAATATTCAAAGGACAGTCCCTCATTTTTGTTCCTACAGTGATTGCTGACCCTGTTGGCCCTCTCTTCCTATGTCAAACTCCTCCCTGCCCAAGCCAGGACCATGGCTCCCCTATTTCTCCACTAACACAGAGTGCTCAAGTTATCCTCCTTCCTGTGCCTATGTTAATATCCCCAACCCTATCTGATCTCCTTTAACCTCCAGCCCCTCCTGAGATGATCAGTATTTCAGGTGCTCACCCTCTTCTGTAAGTTCAGCAATTCTGTGTGTCTGACAACAAAATGTAAATTTTTAGCTCTACCTTTTGTTATGCAATCTAATCTTGCAATAACAAATTTCTAAATACGTGCTATTTTCATGAGCACTTAAAACTTCAATATTTCTGTTATACTTAACATCTGCAATTTTGACAATTTCACAGCCAACCCTTTGTATCTTGCCTCTTTTTCAAATATCCTAGTTTCATCTTGGAGCCTAACTAAACCCTGTAGTTTGGATTTTTAAAAAATATTATCTTCATTTATATATACATTTACATTTGTCAAAAATAGTAAACTCACAAGTCTAATTCACAAGGGATTGATTTCCAAACCATTGAACTTAATTGTAGTTTCCTAGATTACTCCTAATCTTTCCAGTAAGTGTATTTAGGAGACCAGAGTTCACAAGGGTGATGTCAACTGAGAATTTAAGGATTTAAATTTGGTATTTCCACTTGCAACCATGCCTCATGTGATCTCTAAGAATGGCCCTCACTCAGCCACCCATTCATATTTTTAGTTTTATGGAGTGATTCACACTAAAATCCCACCTGCTTCATAAAATGCTCATTGTTTTCCTCTCTGTTGAAACACACCACAACCAATGCGCCACTCTGCTTGTTTCATTTCCCACTTATAACTAATCCGACTATTTTGAAAGTTTCATCCCTCCTGTGAGCACAGTCCATAGCTCTGCTTCCCGATGCTGTACCTTTTACTAGGAAAGCACTAAAACACTGGGGGCTTATGAACATTTTCATTTAATTCATCCAGCTGAATATTTCAAATGAAACCTCATAAGAAATGTTAATATTTAAGTGTTCCAAAATGCTGATGAAATACATCCTACTTAATGATCATTAGTGAGTATAGAAAACTTCACAGTAACATTTAATGACAGTTAGTAGAAAACTTTCTAATTAATGGAACTGATTGGCAACAGCTGAATACCCTGAATACTGTTAGCATCAGAGAAAGTAAGTGGATATTTTACCTCCTAATTGAAGCACACAGGATCCCTATGAACTTTTTGTTGCAAAGGATAAAAAAGAATCTAATCAAATCTCTAGAGCTGCTTATTAAGTTGTAGGAATTTCAGTCACCAGGGAAACATAATGTATGATTGTATATAGGGACACAAAACAGCAAAACAAATTTGAGAGACTTTAAAAGGCTTTAAAAACTATCCAAATAAAAGGACAATTATTAATGGAAAAATCTAAGAAGTATATTAATCAAATGTGACATGTGAATTGTATATTCATATTCTTATTTGAGTAACTCAAATGAAAATGAGTTATTTTAATGTTGATTGGCTATTGATGCTATTAAGGAAAGACTGCTAAAGTCTGCAAACATGATAAGCATATGGTTATACCATTTTAATGTTAATTTTAGAGATATATCAACAATCATAATGATATGATTTCTAGGATTCTCACTAGTATCCAAGGGGCAAATGAGAGTAGGTGAGAATTTAGATAAAACAAATCTAAGCTGATATACCTTTTTTGTTTAGCATTAAGCAAAAACAAAACTTAAAACATAAAACATATGCTCAAAGAGACAACATTGAAAACATCATAAGCTCAAGTTTCTAAGACAGTAAATGATTTAGAATGTATTGTACTAATGCAAAGAAAAATATCAGGGGCAAGGACTGATGTGTTGGTTAAGTTGCCACTTGGGATGCCTTCATCTTGTGTTTGCGTGCCTGGGTGTGGACCAAGACCACTCTTCTTC